TATATATATATATATATATATATATATATATATATATTGGTTCCTGTGAAAACAGGTCTTCCCGTGCGGCATACACCATTAGGTATGCATAAGTGCACCATACAGTGTTTGAGAATACATCAGAATGAAATGCCAAAAAAAGTACCACAAGAAAAAAAAAATACACTATACACATAATGATGCATTTATGCATACTTAATGGTGTATGCCGCACTGACCGCACGGGAAGACCTGTTCTCACAGGAACCTGACCATATATATATATATATATATATATATATATATATATATATATATATATATATATATATATATATATATATATATATATATATATATATATCAAAAGAGTGTTATTCATAGAAGGATTTTATCAAAAGTATCAAATAATAAAATTTTTGAAATATTCAATTCTTTTCATTTTCGTGCTCATTTTTTTGAAAATGAATCAAACATACAAAGGCAACTTTCTATTGTGTAATCAAACATCGGAAAGAAAAATATTTTTTGAAAAATAACTTATTTTTCACAAGTCATTTTCCTACTTTCTAAACGGAACCTTAAACTAATCCCGCATTGAATCTTTAGATTCAGTCGTGTAAGAAATCTTGTCCTTGCCACCGACTTGTCCTTGGTTCATTCACGTGGTTCCTTCATCTTTGAGTTCCTTGTCGAAGAGAAAATCCTCCCACCACTACACTATGTCGTTTGTATGCTGTTGTTTCTAATTCTGACGGCAAACCCTTGTAAATTTTCCATTATTACCAAGTCCGATGTTGCTTCCGATAACTACTTCCAATTTTCTTATTTTTTCTTGTATACAATTCGCAAATTATTCAGTAGACCCAGGTTCAAATATTCACAATTTACATACTAAACGTTTACAATTTATATTTTAAAAATTTTTAATTTGTATACTACGAAGTACGAACTCACAAGGGGTTCAAATATTCACAATTTGTTGGTGATAATGAACCAAAATCGATTTAGTATCTCAAAAATAATATTTATATATACACACACAAGTATATAAAATATTATTGGATATTTATCCGAAATATATATATAACGCAACCAACGGTTATATATACATGTATATCTACGGAAAAGACCAATATATATCAACCAAAATTGAAACTAATAATCCTCAAATTATAAGTCCAATCGAACGAATATATCAAAAGAGGGAGAACGGATTTTTGCTTAAAAGCATAATCCAACAACAAGAAAGGGGGAGAAGAAGAAAGAAATGTACGAGTTAGGCGAGATGCCTTTCTTTCCTTAAAACCATATTTGCCACCTCCCAAAAGTGCTAGGAGCGTTGTGGCCTAGGCTTCCCAGGATAAAACGTACAACGGTTCGACGTTTGAGCACCCAAACGAACGAACCCGTCGAACAAGAGCACGGGCAAAACACAGCTTCAAGAATGGAGTAGGAGCAGAGTTTTGAGAAGAAAAGTAGAATTTCTTTGTGTGTGTTCTTGTGTTGTTTCTCACGAATCTCACTCTCACTTTTTCTTAAAAAAATTGCTCCCACAACATGTTTATATAGGAGATTAGTACTAAATAACATCATCATGGCACATTAAACAACATAAATTCAATTTAAAAATTGAATTATACGTTTGAAACGGTCGTACTTATTATCGAAATAATATCAACGGTCACGAACTTAATATCCGATTAATTCGTACCGACCCGTTTCAAAAAATATCTGAGTGACCGAGAAGTCCGTACAAACCCAAAAGGTTAACGAATTGGGACCGAAAACCATACCCGAGTGATCTGTAAGCACCGAAACGGTGCAGCACGAATCAATGCATAAAGCACCAACTCGTGCTGCACGAAAAGAGCTCACACGAAAGGAGCTCAAAACTTAATTCACTAATTAAGCTTTCAATGCTTAATTACATTTAGCAACTTTCGTCAATGCATAACTTTCGTCCATGCAAACTTTCGTCCTTGCATAATGATGGACAATTTTAATTAATCCTCGCAAGTGCACGAGTCAATTGTAGTTTTAGCGTACTTTTAGCAAGGGTCGATCCCACAGGGAATTGTACGATGCAATTTAATTATAATTACTTAAATTTAAGAAATAATTGACTTGATAACATAAAGTGCTAGACAAATGCCAAAGATAACGATCAATAAAACTCAGGTAGTTAAGCAATAAAATTAAACCAGAAAGCAGAATAACAAATAGATTAAACTAAACGACAATTAATATGGATTAAACTAAATGAAAACGCAAGCAAGAATAAAGACATGAAAAATAATAAATTAACCACGAAACGAAACAACTAGAGAATAAAGACTAGATTAACTCAAGCTAAATTGATCAAATTCAACTTAAATAATGTCAATACGAATCGTAAGATAAACCATAATTAATTGGCAAAATAACTAATACGCACTGCTCATGGTAAAATATCATAGAAAAGAGATTTAGCAAACCATTATCATTCAACACACTAAAAACTTGCATAAAGAATATTAAAGATTTAAAATAGTAAAACAATAAAATAAGAACAAGTGTGGTGAACACAAATATAGTAAAATAAGAAGGAAAAAGAAAACCAGAGAGACCAGGGAATGAGCTGATGCCGAATTAAATTGCTACTGCCAAAATGAAGTTAACGCTGTCGTGCAAAATTGAATTGGAGATGACGAAAGGAGCTACTGAGAACAGAGATCGCCGCCGAATGCCGACCCTGCCGTACCGACCGGAATTTCTACTGCCAATGGAGACTCTGTTCACCGCCACGGGAAATTATCCGGTGTGTATCTGATGATCTTGAACAGCAACATTGGCCTCCCTTTTATACACCCATCTTCAACCGTCTCTCCGCGATTCCGGTAGCTGCAGACGACTGGACACCAATGAAGCTTCTCTTGCCTGTTCAAACTTTAGCTAATCATCCGAACGTTCTCCAGACCGAAGCTCCTCCATCCACGTCGTCCGGAGAATTTGGTTCACGATCCTCTTCCTGCGCCCTCGCCGCTGGTCTCTTTCTTTAGTTAGTTCTTGCGATCAGCAAAGAGGGGATGAAAATGGGCTCTTAGACTTGGTTTTAGATGATGGGCTGGCAATATTTTATTAACTAAAACTACAAATAATAATAATAATAATAATAATAATAATAATAATAATAATAATAATAATAATAATAATAATAATAATAAATTGGGTTAAGAAATTATTAGACTAATTGGACTAACTAATTTTAATAACATAATTAATTTAATAACAAAAATAACCCTAAAAATTAACAATATTAATAAAAACTACTTATAACAATAATAAATAAAAATAGATATAAATTAATCAATTATTACAAATTAACTATAAAAAGATCATTAAAAATAACACTAAAAATAATGTTTATCACATAACATTCGTCCATGCATCATTAAGCCACGAAAGGTGCATCCCAATTCCAAAACTTTATAATTAAGCTTTCAAAGCTTAATCCACTTAAGCTCACAACACCAACTTTCGTGCAGTGCAACGAAAGTTATTAGAATGCTAATTTTAATTAGCATCTAAACTTAAGTTTTTGACTTCTCTCAAATAGGTTCACTTTGAGAATCAATTTCTCATTCACCTATTACCCATTTTGAGCGTACATTATATCAAATTCTTCGTCTCACTACGAAGAACCCGAATCCACATTGACCCGCCCCAAATCGGAAGTGGACCCCACATATATTTGTACCACAAAATGATCACTCAAAATGTCATTTTAATGCTATTTTTCCAACACAATTTACATACTAAATGTTTACAATTTATCTTTTAAAAATTTTTAATTTGTATACTACGAAGTAAGAACACACAAGGTGTATATATATATATATATATATATATATATATATATATATATATATATATATATATATATATATTGGCTATGTTTGGTAACCTAGCTAAAAAAGTTGTTGAAAGCTTAAAAGGAGGTAAAAGAAGATATAAGTTAGGAGCTAAAAACTGAAGAGCTATTAAGCTAACTGTTATATGCTTGAAAGTGTTTGGTAAAATTAACTTTTTGATAAGCTGATAAATGTAAAAAGAAAAAAAAAAAAAAAGGACATCTTCATAAAATTTAAATTAATTTGTTTACCTATTAAAATTTAACATTTTGTCTTCAAAAAAATTAACATTTTGAAAAAAAAAATTATTAACATAATCATGATCTAGCACCACCTAATGAAGTAGCAATATTGTTTCGAATCTCCTTCATCTAATAATAATAATAATAATAATAATAATAATAATAATAATAATAATAATAATAATAATAATATAATAATAATAATAATAATAATAATAATAATAATAATAATAATAATAATAATAATAATAATTGTGGTGGAAGTTGATAAAGGAAAATAGAAAATGATTTTAATTTGGAAGGGTAAATGATGTTATTTCTTTAAAATCATAAGGACAAATATGAGAAAAGGGAAGTTACGAAGTCTGTTAAAGCTTAAACATCAAATGATGTCGTTTTCATCCAGAGTCCACAATGCTATGTGGACCTTGGTCCACGATATAAATTCCCGATAAGTTGTGAACATTTAATATGTAGGCTCTGTTTGGCAAACCTAGCTGAAAAGCTATAAGCTAGGAGCTGAAAGCTGAAAAGCTATAAGCTCGGAGCTGAAAACTGAAGAGCTGTTGGCTCTGTTTGGCAAACCTAAATTGTGTATCTTTTTACTCTAGTCCATCTTGCAAGATGGATCCAGGCTCACAGAATAATCGGATTTGATGACTCTATATTATATTTACAAATTTCCACAGTTTTTATATGTTTTGGCTTAGAAACACAATTTATATTTTAAAAATTCACCATTTCAATACTAAAAATTATACCATTTATAGGTCGTCTAGGACCAAGGACCCTGGTCCATGGTATAACAACTCTATATAATCGCATGCAATCTACAACCTGGGCAACTGAAAATATCTAGGTGAGCTCACGTTTCAAACTTCAAACCATGGATTTCACTCTGCTCGCAGCCATTGTAGCATCTTTGGCTACCACTTCTCTACTACTCATCACTTTTATCTACAACATCTTAATATTTCACAAAGGATCGAGCCAAAAAGTACCCGAAGCAGACGGAGCGTGGCCTATAATCGGACATCTCCACCTCCTCTGCGCTCCTCGAGCCACCTTCAAGATCTTAGCCGACATGGTGGACAAATACAGCCCTATATTCCGGTTAAGGCTCGGTGCGCATCAAGTCCTAGTGATCAGCGACTCACGAATCGCCAAAGAGTGCTTTACCACCAACGATAGAGCGCTCGCTGGCCGGCCCAAGACCTTAGCTTCGGAGATCAGAACTGGCGCGATGCCCGCAAGGCTGTCGTGCTCAACCTACTGTCCAACCGTCGTCCAGATGCTCAGGCGGGTTTGGGAATTGGGAGTAACATCGTTTACCCAAGACATCTACCGAAGCTGGCTGAGGGACAACAATGAAGAATCCGAGGATGTAAAGCTGGAGATGAAGGAGTTGTTCGGGAAACTAGTCATGGACATCATGATGCAGATCCTTTTCGGGAAGCAGTACGAGGAAGAAAGGAAACGGACAGTGGTGACGGTTAGGAGATTCTTCGATCTGCTGGGTACGTCTGTTGGGTGATACCTGCCATGGCTAAGATGGTTGGACATAGGAGGACGTGAGAAAGCCATGAAGGAGACAGCCAAAGATATGGACACCATAATGGAAGGTTGGCTACCAGAACATAAAAAGAAAAGAAATACGAAATCTCAAGAAGAAGAGGAAGGAGATTTCATGGATGGATTGCTGTCCAGTTTTCATGGCAAAGAAGATGGGGATCACAATAATGATTTTGATGCTGACACAGTTGTTAAAGCCACTTGCATGGTATGCATGTCACTCTTTTGTTCTTTAAATTTGGTTTCATCTCATGTTTTCTCAAACCCAAATAATTACATAAATCCTCTGATCTGTTCTTTCTTTTTTATTATTTTACATGGCAGTCTGTGTTGTCAGCAGGCACCGATACAACTACAGTAACATTAATCTGGGCTCTTTTTTTAGTATTAAACAATTATTGTGTGCTAGAGAAGATCGAAGATGAACTAAACATCCATGTTGGGAGGGAAAGGCGCCTCAATCATTCTGACTTAAGTAAATTGACTTATCTTCAAGCAGTGATCAAAGAAACATTAGGTTTATATACTTCAGGTCCTCTTTTACTACCACACGAGTCAATAGACAATTGCACTGTCAATGACTATCACATCCCAAATGGTACACGTGTAGTGGTGAATGTCTTCAAGGTTCAACGTACGAGATCCGAATTTCTGGTCCGATCCTGATGTGTTTAGGCCTGAGAGATTCTTGGGTGAGCACAAAGAGATTGATTTAAGGGACAATCATTTTGAACTAATTTCATTTGGCAGTGGGAGGAGAATGTGCCCTGGATTTTCTCTTGGACTACAATTAGTAGAGTTGGTCTTGGCTAATCTTATTCATGGCTTTGATTTAAAAAGAATTTCGAATGAGCTAATCGACATGACATAGACAGGGGGGCTAACAAATGTCAAGGCAACTCCACTCTGTACTCTCCTTACTCCATGTTTGCCTTTACATCTCTACGGTTAGGTTGCTTAACTGTGGAATCACATATATGTTCTTTCCTTGATGTAAGCACAAATTGTTGTCCTTTAAATTAGAATGAAGTTAATTTGGGGCAACTTAATAAAGAAGAAGGAGGGCGTTGACCATGTGTTGAAACCTAGTTAGTGTTAGTTAGTCTTTTACCTAAGTTAGTCTTTTGACTTTGTGTAACTAGTTTCCTTCTTCTGTGAATTGTTCCTTATTTATTTCCTTTGTCTGATGATGAATAAACGTGTTCCATTGTCACTCTCACATGGTATCATAGTCATTACTCTAGCAAGACTTTTTTTTCCTTCCTCGCTCTCTCATAGCTGCCACAACTCAAACAAGCGTTATTCAAATCTATGCCCCATCTCACCTACCAATCAAACTCACAACCTCTAATTTTCCCATTTGGAGAAAGCAAGTGGAGTCTATGCTCACGGGACTAGACCTCATGGGCTACGTTATTGGGACCACATCTGCTCCAACACAATATGCCGATCCAGCACGAAAAACCTTAAGCCCAGCCTACGCGGCGTGGTATAAACAGTGTTAGTTAGTCTTTTGCCTAGTATTTTGGCTTTGTGTAATTATTTTTCTTCTTCTATGGATTGTTCCCTATTTATTCCTTTTGTCTGATAATGTATAAACGTGTTCCATTGTCACTCTCACACCATGAATCTAGATAGAAGATGGAGTCAGATATAATCATAGGACCTATGAGCTCCGTACAGTTGTATATCTTGCAAACATTAATGTATATATTGCTGTATTGGTGTGTGATCATATCGTGCATATGTGCGGCTATATGAATAATATTGTGGACATCATTCCAATTATGTTCATTACCATATGGTATGATGGAATTAACATAATTGTTAGTGTTACGTTAATCTAATCATTATGGTCCACTGGTCCTAACATGTAATCATAGATGTTATTACATAAAATGAAAAAGAGAGTTTTGAATGTGAAATATGAGAGAAAAATAGATCTTCTACATACTAACAACAATATATGAAACCAAGTGGCTTGTGGTCCACTGGTATTGGATTGCTCCCTTATGTGGGAGGTTTATGTTTCGGGCCTTGGTGTAGGCATAGATTGTATGGGTATCCCCCTTCGTTTGTAATAAAAAAAAAAAAAAAAAAAAAAAAAAAAAAAAAAAAAAAACCAACAATATATGAAGAAAAAAAAAAACAAAATTGATTGAATTTTTTTTTTTTTTTGAGTTTTTTAGGTTGTTACTATGATAAATATTAATCGAAATATAATCCAGTACTATAATATTAACAAAATAAATTATCAAGATTTCCATCATATGCTATTTATTATTAACTACAGAGTATATAATAATCAAACTCTTACAAGATATATAAATTGAAGAGTTAATTCCACAAGAAATCTATTGTCTTTGGTGGCAATTTCAAATTTAGTCCTATACTATCATTTTTGTCATTTAATATCCCAGAATTATTTTTTTAGACACTTTTAGTCATTCTCATGACTTTTCTTATTTTTAGTAATGACATTTTTGTATCTTCATATTTTTCTTTTGTTATTTTTCCGGTCTCAACCAGTTTAATTGATTTAGGCCTTTACTAAAAACTCGTTACCTAAAGTCCTAAACCAATTAAACCGGTTGAAACTAGAAAAATAACAAAAGAAAAATATGAAAAGACAAAAATATCCTTACTAAAAATAGGAAAAGTCATAAGGATTAAAAGTGTCGAAAAAATAATAGTCTAAAATGTTAAATGACAAAAACAATAGTCTGAAACTAAATTTAGAATTGTCACCAAAGACAAATGACCTTCACTAGAATTACCTATAATTTGAAATATCAAGAATAGTTTTAACATAAAAGTTACTTTGGTGACATTTTTAAATTTAATCTATCCTACTATTTTAATTTAATTTTATTGCATCTATGATTCGTATCTTAGCTTTTATGTTGTGTTGTAATAGATGTTAAGTCAAGAAAGCAAATAGTTAATTAAAATAGCTTGTATGTTAAACATAAAAATCACACTATAAAAGTAAGGTCATCCTTGTGTAAATCGTCTCACGAATCTTTAATTTATTCATGATGAGACGGGTCGGGTCGGGCCAGTATGTAAATGTAATATTTATACTAGCAAATGTAATGTTAAATCAAGAATAAAATATTTGTTATTGATATAAAAACATTACATTTTTTTTTCAAATTTATTATACTTTTCCTTGTAAGTAATGCTACATTTAAGCAAATGTAATATTTTTTATGAAAAATGTAATACTTTTACATTTTTCCTCAAAAAAATTACATTTTTTCATATAAGTAATGAATATTTTATTCCTAAATTAGTATTATATTTGCTAGTATAAGTATTATATTTCATCTTGACCCAACCTATCACACGGACAAAGATATGTGAGACGGTCTCACACAAATTTTTGCCTAAAATAATAGATTATTTTGAAACGCTCATCCGAGTAGTGTTTCAAATAAGGTATAGGCTTTTAACATTTTTTTTTTCATTTTCAATTTTTATTGATTTACAAAAATGACACAATTTACCCTTCTTTAATTAAAACCCTAATATCTAATTGAGTGAATTCCATTTTTGGTCCTATTGTTATAAGGGTTTTTCCAATTTTAGTCCACCATAATTATTTTTGCCACATTGCGTTCACTATTATTAAAAGTGTTCCAATTTTAGTTCACGAATTGCCACAAAAAATTGGCTCTAATTCCCGCCCATGAATAGAAGTTTCTAGACAAATATGGCTTTTCATATCTATAGAAAACAAATGAATAATTATGAATTTTATTTTCAAGGTGTCTTTTGAGCTCTCCAAAACATTATTTGTATATTATTATTTTCAAGGTGTCTCCTGAAAAGACTTTTCACATATACTTTTACCTTTAGTCCACTATAAATGAGTTCTACTACATCTATATATACTCTCTAATCTTATTCCCTAAATTTTACTCTCTGCCGTGGCGCAGTCTGATAAGTTATTTTTTCATGTGGATCCCAATACAAGTGTCTACATCAAAGTTTTATGTGTGAAAGTACAAGTTGGAGTACAAAATGGGAATACATGTAGCATTTTCCACTATAAATATACACTTTCAATTGCAGGGCAGATTGCAAAAGATTACACAGTACAATCGGCGCTATCCCAAATTCAACATTCAATTATCTATGCATGAACAATTCCAATATAATTTTGCCTTAATATACTTTAAAGTACTTATTTAAAAAAACACATTGGGCATTATCCCAATCGCGTAATGCGCGTAAAAAAGTAATAATAATAATAAAGTGGTAAAATACTGTTGTGCGCAAAGAATTTTTTTTTAAAAAGGCAAAAGTTGTTTTTTTTTTTTTTTTTTTTTTTCTTTTTTAAGGAAAAGATGTGCGCGAAGCTAAAGGAGCCAAAATTCAAACCTATGACCTCCAAGATGAAACACTATAGAAACGCATTTCTACCAATCCTCTATGGAGTCTTTTAGAATTAATTGTAATTTTATTTTGTTTTACTGTCTCAACTAGCTAGGTAAAAATTGAGATCTTGTACTATTGCACAACCCAAAATCCGACCCTGCCTGAAGGTACCCCTCTCCTATTTATGATAAAAAAAATTTTAAAAAAAAAAAAGAAGAAGAAGTTATGATCAGTTTATCATGTTACTTTGATAAAGAATTAATAATAAGAGTTCTTTTTTTTTTTTTTAATTAAAAAAAAAAAAAAAGGGGACCTTGTTACGCATATCAAAGCAAAATATCTAACCAAAATAGCTAACACTTCAATCGGAGGGCGGGTGACCCAATCATATATGCATGCATGGTCAGTACTAATCCTTAGATAATATTAATTACCCCGATACGTACTATAATGTTTTGTTCGAAAATTATAAGCTACATAATGGCCACAGGCCACATATATATGGTGTTTCATGTTTATATTTTACCAACCATCAGGCCACAATCATTATTGGTCCACACAGCTGTGTGAATTATACTA